GAAAAAAAAATAAAAAAAATAGTACTGTTCTGCGTAGCACGGCGAACGTGTTCTTTCTCTGAATGCTCCCACTTACCGGAGTGTGTTGCAGCGGTTGAGACCGCACAGTCCGAAACTTTTGTTTTAATTGTATATTATTTGTACTTTGAGTGGAATTTCGAGCTGGCACTGTTCATGGCCATAGCCCAAGCTTGTGTCTGAATGCTCCCAATTTACATGTGGTATTTTGAGTTGGATCTTGCGGGGATCATTGCGGTAATAAAAAAAGGGAATTTTTTTTTTCTTCGTGTGTGTGTGTGTGTGTGTGTCCATGTGCGGGGGGTAAGGGCGAATCCTTCCTCACCAATCAACCAACAAATCAAACAATCAATCAGAAAACAGAAAAAGTGAGAAAATATAAAAGGGGGATCTACCGGCGCGCGTGTGTGTGTGTGTGTGTGTGTGTGTGTGTGTGTGCGCGCACGCGGCGGGAAGGGTTACCCCTTCCCACCAATCAATCAATCAGTCAATAAATCAATCCAAAAAAAATTCAACCAATCAACCAATCAACCAATCAACCAATCAACCAATCAGCCAATCAACCAATCAACCAACCAATCAATCGACCAATCAATGAATCAATGAATCAATCAATTAAGAGAGAAAAAGGAAAAAAACAAAACAGGCCGTTACAGCCGGTTTTTCAATAGAAAGAATAAATGAAAAATGAAAAAAAAAAAGAACGGGCGGGTCCATGATTTCTTTTCTCCCCCCTCTAAAACACCCCTATTTGCCTCCCCCCCTCCCCCCCCCATTATTTTTTAAATTTTTTAAATTTTTTATTATGTGGGGGTGAGGCCCGGGTCCCGCTACTGGAATCCCGACCCCTATTGGCAGGACCCCCCTCCTCTCAGCCGCAGCGGGCCGATTTCAACCGTGACCGCGGTGGTCATGACGCCGTCAACCATGGGCCTCGGTCATGACCGCCATGACCGCGGCTGCTCCGGTCACATAGCCTTCCCCCGCTTGAACTTACAGACGCGCCAGGTCACGCGGTGGCCAAGCGGGGACGAATGTATAGAATCAGTGGTCCATTTTTTCGTTTCACGCCTCCTACGCTGCCCAGGTCCTGGCAGTTTAATAGACTGCACTACGCAGCTATGCAACATTCGCACAGAGAAGATTTCCAGTTCCAGATGAGGTGATTACATTCTAAAGGGGAAAGCAGTTTGAAGTCGACTTACTTATACTAAAAGTCTAAAACAAATACCATGGAATCACATCACATGATCACAACACTAAAATTCCTTCTGAATTTAAGAGCCTGCAGTGGGTCAGGTTGCACTTGGCACTACCCGTCAACTATTGGCTGAACATAGAACACTACCAATTAGACAGAAGTTCGTTTCAGGAATTATAAATTACACTCCACTTGCATGGACGTATTAGTAAAAGATGAGACTTAGAAGGCTATCACTGCTTCTCACTATGTCCAAGAATCAGACCAATCCCGGAAAACATAGCCAAGATTTGGGACCAAGTTACAGAAACAAACTTTCCAGCTGATCCCGCAGTGCACCCCGGAATAGAACCCTTGGTCATTATCACTGTATATAGACTGGAAGTTCCGCCAAATTGCATCAATTACCATCTTCACCCAAATAGAACGGTCAGCCGTTTTCTTCACTCGTTGTTGTAGTATAAGTTATTAAGTGCCATTTCTTTGCTCATTATTGTAGCAAAAAAGTGGCTGTAGCAAATACAAGAATGCCGGTTATAGCAAATAGGCTTGACACTCGTTCAACCTGTCACATGAGAGCTATGAATAGTCTATATTAACTAGACTTGAAGAGCAATATATTAATTAGACTTGAAGATCAATTGGCAGGAAGGGCAATGTTGACCCAGGGCGTATCTGACCAGAAATTGGTGATCAGATTCCGCAGTCAGGAACCTTGTAGAGTCCCCTTAAGCATTCAAGAACCCCAATGCGAACCTGGAACAGACAAAAAAACACAAGTTCGCACAAGTGCCTCAACGGCTGCAGTAGAAAAGGCTTCCAACTTCACGCGGCCATTCGTAATAAGCCCGCAATGCCATGCCATAACTGCAAAGGCTGGTCGCGGTGTGCAGAGGGCCTGAAACAAACAAACAGCAAATTGAAAAAGAATTGCCCATGTATCTGCCTTTTTTGCTGAGTCTGGACTCCGCCCCTGGTACCTGTTTTTTTCTGCCCATTTCGAGCTAAGAATGTGACCCACGGTCAGTTTTTCCTTTTTATTTTTATTTTTACCTCACGACGATGGGTTTCAATCAAGAATGGAAAATAAAACGAGAGATGACTGCATCCCAGGGGACATCAAGCTACTGCAAAAGGGCAGGGGGAGGAGGCCGAGGAGGAGGAGGAGAGGAGGTGCTTGTCGGACCCATACCACCGTCTTGTTCCCCTTGTCCTCCTCCTCCTCCTCCTCCTCCTCCTCCTCCTAGGCTCTTCCTCTCTGTCTTCCTGCATTCCTCCTCACCCTCCTCCTCACCATTGCCCCCCCCCTCCTCCCCATCTATCTTCCGCTCCTCTATACCGATTTCATTAACTTCTTCCCGGCATCCGCATGTCATCCTCGCTGTTCTACGAGCGGACAAAGAAGGAGCCGAGCAGGCCAAGGACGAACACATTTAAGAGAAGAGGAGGATCTCCTAGGCTCTCCTCCTCTCTTCCTGCTTTGCACTGAATGACTGGTGGATGGATGACTGTGGTCGCGGTCATAATCTTCTCCGCGCCTCTCACTCAATTCGAGGAGTTGACCTTGACTTAAAAAAAAAACCTTGCATGTGTGACAAGCCAATGAGACTTCTCTGACGTGACGTATGAGACTTCACCGACTTGACTTATGAGACTTCACCGACGTGACTTATGAGACCTCCCCGACGTGACTTGTGAGACTTGGAAGAAACGCCCTGACCTCGCATATTTGATCCTCATCATGTTCATGGGCTTCAAGTTGTCCTGATGATGATACAGTCCTCCCCCTTCCAATTGGTGTTGTCGGTGTACGTAGCCTGAGTGATTTCGATTATGACGCACTCGCCGTAAACCGGCTCGTGCAGGTTTCTCCTGCAGACACGGCTTCCTGAGGTGTAGAAGTTCCAACCGCACTCGGCATAGTTCCAGTTACCACCCGAGCAAGGACCATAGGCGCAGGCCCCAGTGTTAACGAAACGTGTAGTTTTCTCCACACTGCAGCTCAACCGAATCAGCCGGGAAGGGAGGGGGGAAAAGAAAAGCAAAAAAAAAAAAAAAAAAGCCAGTCAGGATCGCACTTCGCACTCCAAAACCCGGATGGGCCAAAAAATCAAGGACAACTAGCTAAGGGGGAAAAAAGGCCAACAACAATTTTGGATGGGCCAAGTCCCACTATGGCCATATCCTTGATTGCACTCAACGCTACTGTATGGATGTGTTTGAGCCCATGCAGGGTTGCGCCAAGCTCAATTATGCCGTTTCTGCACATCTCCACAAACACGTCCTTATTCAGGCGTTGATGAACCTCAACGCTTTTCATCAACGCTGATAGTTCGACAATGCAGTTTCGGTAGAAAAGGAACAGTGGGGGGCCCCCTTTTTTTTTTTTTTTTTTTTTTAATTTGTTTTTGCTCCCTTAGCCCGTCTGACACCATGGCCGACCCCTGTAGTTATCACACCCCACGTGACACGACGGCCGCTGTACTTTCTTAACATTTTTTAACTCGGTGGCTGGTTTCTTTGAAGGTGCATGTTTTAGCTCGGCGCCCATATGACCAGAAGAAGCCTTAGTGCAAGGAAAATAAGCAACAGCGAGATGACAAACCCAGATCACACCATCACATTGCAAGCCAAATAGGCACACCGTGTCCATATAGCAGCCTTGCACCAATTATACACCAATGGAGTTTCGTAGCACTGAAAACCAATGTCCGTGGAGAGCACACTCTCTCCTGTCAACACAAGAGTCCAGTTCCCTTACAGTCAGACTTGGCGCTCAGCGCCCAGCCTAATCGTACACAGCTACTACAGACTACAAAAAGACAATGCAACTGTTGACATTAGCAGTAGTCCGAAGTACTTGAAGATGCTGCCCATGCAGACCATCGCCAATACAAGGTACGTGCCCTCACATCATCATCATCATAATCATCCTTCACCTATCCCCTGACTTCCCCACACCTGTCCTCTCTGTCACCCGAAGACCACCCCTCTGTTTCACTGTAGTCCAAGCCCACCAGCTATGGTGGCTGGGCTATGGCGCTGCCCTCAGCAGCGCCCTCCTCCTCTGCGCGACCGCACGTGCTGCACCTCGCCTCCCAGCGCTAGCAGCAGCCTACAAGCATTAGCTCCAGCAGCGCTACCGCCCAGCATGCGAGTTCCTGAATGAGGCAGCCAGGGCCGAGCTCTTTCCTTTATGGAAAGAGTTGGCCTGCTCACGCAGCCTGGCTGCCTTGGCCTGGGCCCAGAAGCTTCTGGAAGGCCCCASGAGGCTGCCTGGATGCAGCAGCTACTGGGCTGCTGGGCCTCGTTCGGTTGGGCGCCCAACTGTCTCTGTATGAGGCTGCGAATCACGGCCAGGGCCTGCATTCTTTGGAAAGGCC